TTTTTGTACCCGCAGCTGCAGTCGTCCCTGCCACCGCCTGACTGGGTCCTTCGCCAGGTTCTTAGTCTCCCGTCTTCCACTGACCTCACTCCACCTCTCCTGTGCCCACCGACAGACCTGTCTCAGCCATAGCTACTGCCTGGCTCCCCGCTGCCTGATCCTGCTCCTCTCACTGAGGTAACTGAGTCATTGACTGAGCGTCGTGAGCCTGAGACTCGTGCTTCCACACCTGTTCGTGCTCGTCGTGTCGCCCGTCCTTGTCCTCCTGCTGTCCCAGGCACTCACAGTATGGCACTTCGTACTTCCTCTGTTCCACAGCGTGTTGTCCTGCCTGAGCCTTCCGCGTCCTCTCTTTCGCACGTTCCTGACCTTGAGTCCAACCTTGCTCGTGCTGCCAGTCCTACTGTCACTCATCTCCTCGCTATTGTCGTTACTGACCTTGAATTTGAGTCTACTGCTGCATTTGCCCTAGTCATTGAGCTACTCCACTTTGCAGCTATGAGTCGTCTCAACTACGTCTATGAGTCTTGTTACTGAGTCTGAGTCTGTCTGTCCTTCGTCCGTCGGGGGTGAACCTGCCCTTAGCAGTGACGTCCTTGAGGACAGGCAATTTGAGCTTGAGTCTCTTGCGGCCGCTTTACCTCGTTTCGCATCCATGCTGCTTTGCCCTAAGGGAGACCCGGATGCGCTTGACATCCCTACACTGCGCTCTTACGATGAGGCGATCGCGGGTGAGTACTCCTCTCAGTGGCAGACAGCCATGGACGCAGAGATGGCTTCCTGGAAGTCCACAGGCACGAGGTTCCTCCTCCTGAGGCGAACATAGTCGATGGCATGTGAATCTTGGGAGTGAATCGGCCGCCGGGTTCTCTGCCTATCTTCAAGGCGCGTTACGTTGCTCGAGGCTTCAGCCAGCGACAGGGGGTCAACTTCTTCCAGACCTTCTCCCCCACCCCGAAAATGACTGCTCTTCGGATGTTGCTGCACGTTGCTGCACAGCGTGAGTACGAGCTGCACTCCCTCGACTTCTCCACAGCTTTAATGCAGGGCAGCCTTCACGAGGAGATCTGGCTGCGCCGCCCACCTGGCTTCACTGGGTCGTTTCCTACGAGTACCTAGTGGAGCCTCCGACGGCCAGTCTACGGTCTCCGCCAGGCGCCTCGCGAGTGGCACGACACGCTGAGGACGACACTTGCGGCTCTTGGGTTGGCTCCTTTCTCTGTTGACCCGTCGCTGTTTCTACGCACTGACACTACCCTACCGCCGTTCTACGTTCTCGTCTACGTTGACGAATTGGTTTTTGCTACGGCTGATTCGGAGGCGTTGGCCCTATGAAGGCGGAGCTGCAGGAGAGACACACCTGCACTGACCTGGGCGAGCTGCGGAGCTATCTTGGCTTGAAGATCACACGGGACAGAGCATGGTGCACCATCACCCTGACTCAGTCACACATGGTGCACTAGGTCTTTCAGCGCTTCGGCTTCCAGTTCTCCTCGCCACAGCCCACTCCTCTGTCTACCGGCCACTCGCTCTCAGCTCCACCTTCGGACGAGTCCGTAGAGCCGAGTGGTCCATACCCAGAGCTTGTAGGTTGCCTCATGTATCTGATGACGCGCACACGACCTGACCTCGCGTACCCTCTCAGCCTCTTGGCTCGCTACTTGGCTCCCGGACACCGAAAGGTGCACTGGGATGCTGTGAAGAGGGTACAGCGTTACTTGAGCAGTACATCGGGCTTGGGGCTCGTCCTTGGAGGACTTGGTTTAGTGGTATTCACAGGATACTCCGACGCTTCTTGGGCCGACGACCAGGCGACCCAGCGTTCGTCACAGGGTTACACCTTCAGTCTTGGCTCTGGTTCTGTCTCGTGGAGGTCCACTCGTTCTTCTTCTGTGCTTGGTTCCAGCTGTGAGGCCGAGATCTACACTGGGGCCATGGCTGCACAGGAGCTACGCTGGCTGACCTACCTGTTGTCTAACCTAGGGGAGCAACCTCGTTCTCCTCCAGTACTGTACGTCGACATCAAGTCAATGCTTGCCTTGTGTCGCGAGCAGAGGCTGGAGCACAGAACGAAGCACATTGCTCTTCGCTAATTCCTTGCACGTGAGCTGCAGCAGCGGCATCAGCTCCGCCTTTCCTACGTGGCCTCGCAGGCCAACACTGCTGATGTGTTCCCCAAGGCCCTTGGGTCTGGTGATCATCAGCGTTTTTGCACTGCTTTTGGGCTTGTGCCCACTCTGCCTCACTTGCTGGTTGCTTGACTTGCTCTTGTTGTACACTGATATATATCTTTATACCAGCTTGTTTACTCTTGCTAGGCTATGATCAGTGTACTGCCTTGCTATTATAACTCTGCATGTGAATTGGCCTTGTGGTTGCTTGCTTGTGTTCAGATTGTGTGGTGTCCTTGAGATCCACTGTGACTGTGAGCTCTGTTTTGCTTGTTCTCTTGCTTGACTGGTCTTGTGACCATCTGTTGTGTTCCCTGGTCTTTCTCCCATAGCCTATGGGGGTGTGTCAAGCTATATGTTTGTGTTCTCTCTAGGCTATAGTGGGTTAGCCTACAAGGGATATAACACTTTACGGTTAGTACTTGTACCCAGCTCATTCATAGTTCATTCATTCTTGCATGGTTGATTATGACAGTTTTTGGGTGTCACAAAGTGATTGAGACACTTGTGTCCCCACAGGAATGTTTCCTTCAGCCTGTCAAAAGAGGGCCCTGAAAGAAATGCGGTACTTGGTGAATGTCCTCCATACAGTGGGGGAATGGTTGCAGTTTGTTGCATAGTTACAACGCATGGCACAACATCATCTGAGCCTGCTAGATGCAGTAGCTATTTCTCGTCCTTCAACCATGACTGTTGTTACATTCAAAATACCGTATTCTCCCGGATAAAACACCCCCCCGTAATTGTACACCCCCGGGTAGCTAATACGGGGTGGGTGTTATATCCGACCCCGTTTGTACTATACCCCCCCTTTTGGGGTGATTTTCTATAACACCCCCCTTTTCTTATAGATTCATATTATAGCTGTTATCAGGCCCTAAGATATCATGAATTTTACCCTGAAATTCCTGATTTTCAGGGTTTTTTTTTACCTACCCTGAAAATCCAGTGTTCAGCTTTTCCTAGGGCTGATTTTTCAGCCTTCACATGCCACATGACTCTGAACTTTCAGCAATTTTTTTGAAGTGACACTGATGCCTTTACGTTGTAACGAGTTTGACCCTGAAAGCGAATCCTACTAGGAACGAGTGTACTTGACCGGAAGTACTGGGAAAATCAGATTCCCGCGGTGTCAGCAGGGCCTGTCGTTGACTATCGGACAATTTTGCCCACACTGATGGCCCCTTAGTTGGCGCGCCTGGTCCGTTCATTGGCCACATTTGCAACATTAAGTGACTTGACCAATTACAAGGTTGCAGCACAGAGATGCTAGCAGGCTGCGCTGCGATGGATTCTGGCGGTCTAGGTCGTGCTGGCAAGCACTGATGCATCCACGCCTCCCAGCCGTGCTACCTGCCATCCAGCCTCACATCCCGTTCTGCTGTTTGCTTCCTTCCTAGTGTTTTTACTACTAGTAAAATAAAGACTACCGTACTAGTATCAGCCTTTTTCTGTAGGGAACACTAATGCATCAGACTTTTTTTTTAAGTAACACTGAACTTTCAGGCTTTTTTTTTAGGCGACCCTGACGATCAGGGTCTAGGGGCAGAGGGACCCTGATACCCTTACGTGCCTAAAAGTGAATCTGAGGGCATGGCTGTTATCGAGTCCGATTCCTTACGGGAAGATATCGCGAGAATTGCTCCCTAGGTGAAATTTCGCGTGTACTTTCACTTAGAATCTGCCAAGATTTCCCCCCTCCCACAATCTCGCTGTCGCCACGTTGGCGAATCTTCCGCTGCAAGTGGCCCAATAGGTGAAAATCAGGGCGTATCTTTGGTTTGGGTCATGGCACTGTTTGGGTCATGCGGAAATCGCGCATGACCCAAAGTGGCCTTCTGAAGCGCGGAATACGTGGCGTTTTGTGCTGTTTGGGTCATGCGGAAAACGCGTATGACCCAAAGTAGCCTTATGACCCAAACCAAAGATACGCCCTCACCTTCTCACATGAGGCACAGACACGTGACCAAACCAGTCAAGAAGTGACTGGTACAGTAAGAACGCACCACTGTGCGTGATTCTGGCCTCGGCGGTTGCATAAACCCTCGCCACGCAATTGGCTTTGTTTTCACCCTATCAGGTGCCAGAATTGCCCACTCGAATTTGCCACGTGGCAGATTCCAGTGGGCGGTCACGCTATCCTCGTATACTCGGTTTTGCGGCACTGGTCAACATTCTTGAAGTGGAGTCAGGCCCCTGATTTTGTTTCACATCTTTTCTACTTGATAAAAAATATACCATATAATAAGACCCGGGTATTATGTAGGATTTTCCTTTGAGGAGACCCCCCCCCCATTTTTTCCCAGTGGTTTTCATAATACCATAGGGTGTTTTATCCGGGAGAATACGGTACGCTGGTACGGTTCAGAATTTGTAAACTTGGTCCTTGGTGTAGCCGAGAGTTTTCAAGAGGCCATCCAGCTGCATTGGGAGAGGAATATTGGGAGCAAACGCGGAGAAGAGAACAATCAGATTGCTCCCCTTATCCAGTCAAGAAGCCGCACTTACCGAGCATTCACATCACATGCACTACGGACAAGGAAGGTATAGAGCGTAAGGTATCGAATGCGAATTACCTGTGCATCAAAGTTTTTTTTTGTTTAATAAAATCGTGATTTTGAAAAGGGGTGAACTTGCTCATTAGTCAAAGCATAAGCGCATGCGCTAAACAACCAGTTACCGGATGCGCGCCTATATGTGGGGGACTACTGTACCACAGCATTGCACTGCTCTGGGGCAACCCTCATGAGTAACAGTTTCTGTGTCAGCTGCCCCCCTGCCTGTCCCCCACTCACCTCCCCCTGCCACTCACCTCCCCCTGCCACTCAC